AACTGTACGAAAGGGTCGCGGAGCCCCGGGTCTTCCATCAGTACCAGCCATACCTTCTGGAGCCGCAGGACATTCTGAATAAAGAAGCGATACGCATTGTACCAAGGGAGCAGGACATCTTTCAGCACATCACGCACACCCTCCTCCTTAAATCGGAGGTTTTCTGCTCTCACCACTGGGGAATTAATCAGATATAATCTGCAGAGAAAGAAAAAGTATACACAAAAGGCACATAGATAATAAAACATACATTACCAATAAATTCTTGAGCATGCAAGACTAAAATTTGGATATTTTCTACATAATCATGAATGTGGTTTAATCATGGTAAACTTTAAAAATCTTAACTTTGTTTAAACGACTAGAAAAGCATTAGAGAGTGTACACAATCCCACATCAAAACATGCAGTAAGCCACAGGTCCTCAAACTTATTTGGCCTATCAAGCCTTTTCTGGAAAATAAATTACTAAGCAATGCCACCAACCTGAGAAATAAAAACATTTATAATTATACAAAGTCTATAATCCAGGATAAAGCTCCCACTTCCCATGAATCATTCAAAGCCCACAAGAGTCAATATCAACCACTTCGGTAAACTGTACACTAGACAAACATGAACAACTTCCAGTGTCAATCACAAGGGTCAAAGCACACCTGGGCATACCGAAAAGTCTATCTCCACATTCGCTACACAATGATTTTTCCCCTCTACATTGTACTTGGTAGCAAGTACTCACAAGCAGAGAAAATACATGTAATTTCCTTTCAGAGGGTAGGGCACACTATAGTAGATTGTTGGGTAAGGGATGCTACTGGCATCTGGCGAGAAGAGGCCAGAGAACGTGCTATATGTCCTACAGGACAGTCCTCCATGAAGAACCGTCTGGCCAAATCATTAATAGTGGTAAAGGTGAAAATTCTGGTGTGGATCATCTGGAGCCACGACATGGCCTCAAGTACTCCTAAGCAAAGAAGGTAACGGGAAAGTGTGCCAAACCAAAACTTTAAAATCCCCAAGTCCTCAGACTGTTGTCTATGAAATGCATATATTACACAAGGTATTTTTTTCACTTTTACTATGTATTAGGTAGGGGGTTACATTTTCAAACACGCAATTTATCAAATCCTCTATTAGCTTGTCCATTGTCCTCTCTCAGCCGTTTCCTCTATTCTCCACATATTATCTTCCTCTTCACCCAAGTTAACAGCTGTCTATCCTCTAGCCGAGGAGTCCTGAAACTGCGGCCTGCTGAGGGAATTTATCTGGCCCGTCGGGTGTTTTTGCTCCGTTTGTTCTGTTACTTCAAAATAAGATACGTGCAGTGTGCATACGAATTTGTTGTTGTTTTTTTTAAAAAAAACTATAGTCCAGAACTCCAACGGGTCTGAGGGGCAGTGAACTGGACCCGTTTAAAAAGTCTGAGGAGCCCTGCTCTAGCCTATCACGCCCCCTTTCCTTTCTTTCCCCCAGAACCATGGTTAATCACCAAAGTCTGTTTCTTTTAGCATCAAAATCTCTCTTGACTTTTTTCTTTTTAACAGATTATACAATAATTATCCTTCTGAGATTAACTTACTCAGGATATCTTCTAAATTCATCCATCCATTAAGTGTTTTCATAGCGTGATTATTCTTTAGCAATGAGTATGTGTATCAATGCCAAAATTTATTAATCTATTCTTCCACTAATGAATAGTTGGGGGGGGGGTGTTTCCATTTCTTGCTAACAATGAATAGCGCTACCATGAATACGGGTGTGTATATAGATGGGGATAACCACCCCCAAAATACACGAGAAAACCACTCATACACTTGAGTTTTCTCATAGTGCTGTCCTAGTAAGCTGTGTTCAACATCACAACAGTTTCTGGGGCATTTTTCCTGAGCAGGAAATGAAATTTCACAGCCGCATGCTGTTCTCTTAAAGCTGCCATCACAATAAACAAGGTTTGGACAAAACTGCTTTTATAAACATTCATTGATGAAAGAACCTTCCTGGGCTATGTCACTGGGTGCACTAACTCAGATTGAGTTGCTCAATGCTCCCCTAGTGGGAAAATGCAAATTACGAAAGCTCCACTCTTCCTAGCACAGTTCGTTTTTTGGGGGTACCCGCCTGTTTCTTTGTTCTTTTTTCCTTATTTCGTCAAGTTACATGCTGTAGAGGGATTGCTGAATCGTAAGTTATTTCTATTCCAAGTTGTTTAATGAAGCACCATACAGCTTCCTCAGTGATTGTACAATTTTGGTTTCAATATCTCAATTCCCTCTCCAGCACTGGTCATTTTCTGGTATTTTCTTTTTATAACTTTGTTCTCCATGCTAGTTTGAGATGGCATCTCATAACTGTTTGATTTGCACCTCTTGAATGACTAGTGATCGTGAACATTTATTTGTGTATATTAGTTGGCTGGATATCATCTTTGAACTGTCTGTTCATGTTGCCTGGCCATACCGTAATTGAATTCTTTGTCATTTTGTGTCGAGGTATTGAAATTTCTTATGGATTTTACACAACAGTTCCTTATCCAATCACTGACCACATATTCTTTTCAATTCTGTGGGTTCTCCTTTTTATTCTTTTGATGAAGGAATTTGAAGCAGTTTCTCTATTTAGGAGATCCCAGTTATTTATTTTTTACCTCTGTTGTGTTTTTTTGTTATTGAACAAGGTATCTTTAGTTGCTTTTAAGACTGTATAATTTGAAAATTACAAATATTTCAAAGTGCAGCTCTAATTTCTCTTTAAAAATTCCATATTAAATTGCGCCTGATCTGACCACACCACACTGAGGCGATACACTGTGAGTGTGCTACAGAACAGCAAGGGAAACAGAGCAACGAAGTCCCCAGGGAATACGAAAAATAGACTGTGGGGCCAGGGCATAGCACCCCATCAGACTCCACTGGAAAACTCTACTAATGGTCAACAAGCAGACTTTGAACTATTTAGTCTTTCATTTTTTTGATCGTTGTTTTTTTTTGTTTTCTTTTGTTTCTTTGTTTTGCTGCCTTGTTTTTGTGCATATTATTATCTCTGCAGGTCTCTCTAGATAAGATAGGATAAGCAATCTGGAGGAGAAAACAA